TTAAGGGTGATGGGAAAATAAGAGATGTTAATTGTCACTGGACAAGGGAGGGGACCAGAGGCCCCTCAGATCCAATCTCACCCTCCAGCAACCCATGCAGATAAGCCTGAGCAAGCCAGCCACTGTCCACTGCTTCACTTGCTGGGAATTGGAGGGATGGACTGAGCCCTCCCACCCTCTGCTTCCAAGCCCATGAAGGGCTCTTGAGACTCTCTGGTCAAGACCAAAAAGAGGGCTCCTCAGACACTGGTGAGAGCAGGTGAGGAGTCGGCGTTTACTGATAAGAGAAAGAACAAGTAATGGGGGCTCTGGACAGATTTCTCTGGGCATGAGAGGCATTCTGAGAGGCCAGGGCTGGGGCTCTATATAGGTTTTAAGTTGGGGTTTGAGAAAAAAGGAATTACGCTTTTTTGCCTGAAAATTCAGAGAGAGAGTGGACTTGGCTAAAGCCCATTTGCTTATCTGAGTGTGGCCCATTTCTTGCTGCTAATTGTGGGCACCAATCAGCTGCAGCTTGGAGGTCATGCAGGGCTTGTGGACGTTTCATGGGGACTGTGTGTCCTCATGCCTGCAGCTCCAATTTGAACCAGTCTGGCCTCAGGGTCTGTCACTCCCTTCTTCTGCAATAGACATGGGACTCTACAAGCTGGAAAGAAGCAGCTCAGGAGTGTACAGGCTGGGGGAAGATCAGTAAATAAAAAAACAATGGGTCAAGGAAATTTATGGCAGCAGGTGTCCAGGCGTAGAGTCATGAGATTTGTCTCACCTTTTATTTACCAAATTAGCCCGTGCGAACAGCCAAGTTCTATCCTTGTCCCAGGATCCTTCCTTTCTCATTAATGGTAGAATGTGTTGCCCTTGTGTCACCTAGGAAGATGGTGGGATGCCTATGCTGGAGATGATTATTCCCTTTTGCATGTTGACTCAGTTGTGGACATAAGTGGGAGAGTCCCTCCAAGGAAAGTTGTTATGGAGGTGGATTTTTGGACTTTTGTTCCTGTTTATATTTTAAGGTCAGGAAATTCCCAGTCCATTGCCATCCATCTTTTTATAATAATGATATCCGGAAGTGTCACTATCTGTGGAGGTTTGGTGGGGGGGAGATTGCCATCTTATTTCCTTCTAATTATTTGAGTTGTAAAGTCATGGATTTGCATTGTGTTGATTTGTGGAGTCCTTAGAGTATTGAGCTAGTTGGTATATTTAGGAGAGGGGAGTAGTTTGTTAGTTTACATTATATTTATGGATAATGTGTCTGATTTCTGGTTGTAACCAATTAACAAAGTTAGTGATGAAGGCAGATGTTTGATTATTGAGAGAATGGGATAATCCTTCTAAACATTTTATAAATCTCTGTAGTTAGAGATCATCTCCTTGTTGTCTGCAATCTTCTGTCTTTGACTAGTAAATTTTTGAGGAGACAGAATGAAATCTGAAAGTCTCTCTCCTATAGTGTTAATTTGCATGTTCATTAACACTCCTATAGTGTTAATTTGCCTTGGACATGTTCTGATTTCTTTCATGTTCCATCTCCAGGACCCACTAATAGTTGCACAAGTTGATATAAATCAGGGCCCTCAGGAGACTGTGCCCTTAGGGCCAATCTGAGTTGATTAACAAATATTTCTCGGACTTCCCTGGTGGCACAAGGGCTTAAGTACAGCACTGTGAAGCTATCTGCAGCCTCTGTAGCATAAGTTCGATTCCTGCCTGGCCAGGGAACTACCCACATGGCGCAGCAGACCTCTCCTGACTCGCCCACTGCTCCCCTCGGCAGTGTATTTCAGTCAGTCTGCCTGTTCTGTTCCCCACTCTGTCTCTGGTGAATCCTCTCACCTCCTGCACCTCTGGCCTGTACCCCAGTTCTTGTATGCATAAATAAATCTTTAAAAAATAAAACAAAATTTTCTCTATTCTTATAGAAGTCTAGAAAGTCTTTAACAATAACATGTAAATCTGAAATTTGAACAAGACCAAGGTCTGAAAAGAAATGTAGTTCTCGTGGGCTCTCAGCTTGTTGACTTTTCATCACAGTTGGAGGAAGCCCCACAATCCAGATTAGGATGGGATTTGGGAGCAGGGAATTTAATGCAGCCAAGGAGGGAAAAGCAGAGGAATAAGAGCTGAAGGGAGAGGGAAGCCACAGAATAAGGAGAACGAGTGGGTAGAAGAAAGGGCTGGGGTGGTGCACATGAAATGTTCTGGGCGAGGAAAGGATTGTCAGGTTTAGTTGGGGGTGAAGGAGGAGCAGGGAGAGTGGACAGGTAGTGAGAGACAGTCCTTTGGGACTGTGTAGTTTGAGATAGATTGGAGACATGTTCTCATTTTTCAGCAAAGAATAAATTTCCATCATGATTTGCTTATCCTGAAATGCAGCACTTAGAGGAAGAATAATCATTTTAACATAAATCCAAACAGTATCTCTTTCCTGATATATAAAATATCTAACACAATATAATACTAAAAGAATTGCAGTTTTCATGTTCAGACTCCAGCATATTTCTGGAATTTTTCACATAATTACCTCCCTGACATTTTACATAGTCTTCTCTCCTTTTTAAGAGCTGTTTTCTTTCCTTAATTACCACATATTTTCCTGACTCCATACCATTTTCTGTCTTTTCTGGAAAATCTTACCTCCACCACACTTATTCTTTTGCAATTTAACTGTACCAATTCCATGGAACCTAAACCTACACCCCCAGAAGAACTGACTGTTTCTTCTTTGGGGCCCACAATATACCCTGAATATATTTCTAACACACCTTTTTTTTTTTTTTTTAAACTGAGTCACACTTGAAATACATTAAACTGTCTAGATTTTAAATGTATAGTTTGATGAGTTTTGACAAATATAACCATCATTCAAGTTAAATTTAGAACATGTCCATCACCCTTGAAAGTTCCTCTTATATATCCTATATCCTCTCCCTTGATGCAACCATTGTCAAGACTTTTCATCTCTATGGATTAATTAGCCCTGCCTGTTCTTGATTGCCATATAAATAGAATCATTATGTCTGTGTTTGGCTTGTACTTATAAAATAACACAGCACTTTTGAGAGTCATCCACATTGTTGTGTCTGCCAGTAGCTCTTTTTATTGCTGAGATTTCCATTGTATATGTCACAATTTGTTTATGCATTCATCTACTGGTGGATGTTTGGAAACTGGAGGATTCTTGTTATAGACTAATAGAAACTTAATAACACTATCCCTTGAAGTTAGGTGGGATGTAGAACATGTGCTTAATGAACTTGGTAAGTTATCTAATATTTCCAAATAAAGTTTTGGATGGGTGTAGTTTCTTCTTGCATCTTTTAGCAAAATTTGAAAGGAGGTAGAGGGAAAGAGTCAAAGAACCAGGATTTGATAGTTTTGAAAGTTGTCAGCCTCTGTTGATAGTACAATATGTTAAAATTAAGAAATGGCTTTGAAGCACTATCAGGAAAATGTGAGAGAAATAAGCAAAAGATGTGTGTGACTGTGCAACCTTTTGTTAAGACCCCATGGAGATCAGAGGATTGGGACATTCAGCCACACAAAGTTGACAAATAATTGATTCAACAAGTAGAAGGCAGGTCACATGGCTGCTTTCCCACTGCTATGCAATTATTGTACATGTTCAGAACCCCTCACACTACAATAAAAGAACTATGAGATGCACACACCATTTACTGTTCATGCTATGGCTCTGATGTAAGCAAAATATACAGGTTTGTGTCCTGAATCCTGGGGTTTCTTTCAGCCTGCTTTTATTGCCTTAACCCAGTCGTGTATATTTTGAATTGTGTGTCTGGCCTCAGAACTGAAATCAATAATGAAATTTTAAGTTTTGATAGTCCATGAAGTACACAACTACCTAATTTCACTTGAATCTGCTTGGGGGGAAGATTAGCATAAATGCCTTGGTATGATTATTGGATAGACCCAGTTATTATACATAAAGCAGATCTGTAGATATCTATACAAACACATATATATTAAATTAAAAAGTGAGACAAAAAAGAGAAATGAGCAATAAAAAGGCATCGAGAGACAATCATCATATATTTATTTTTTTTAATAAATTGTTGTTGCTTTATTTTTTAAAGATTTATTTATGTATGCATACAAGAACCGGGATACAGGCCAGAGGTACAGTGGGTGAGAGGATTCACTAGAGACAGAGTGGGGAACAGAAAAGGCAGATTGACTGAAATACACTGCTGAGGGGAGCAGTGGGCGAGACAGGAGAGGTCTGCTGTGCCATGTGAGTCAGCTCCCTGGCTGGGGATCGAACTTGTGCTGCAGTGGCTACAGATTGCTTCGTAGTGCTGCGACTTATCCCCTTACACCATCAGGGAGGCCCAATCACTATATCTTTAAAAGTAAATTAAAGCAAAAATGGAGGGATTCTGTGAGATAAAAAAAAGTAAGTATACATGTTTCCCTCCGTAAGTTAGAGACCACAAATTTCCCATAAAAATGAGGAACAAAATAGGATCAAGGTCAAATCCTGTACAAAATTATTATTTTTAAAAATAAAAGATTGACTGTTGTATGCAATGAACAGCAGACATTTACAATTAGCTGTTTGTATTCTGTACAACATGTGTACAACTATTTAATAGCCATACTGTGTGATATATTGGTGAAAAATCATTAAAAACATTTTCCTGTCTAAAAAAACTTGCAGGCAGACCATAGATCTGAGGCATATGGCAGAGGAGGGGGAGGGAGAGAAGTCAAAACAGGAGAGGGAAGAGCACAAGGGTCTATGGTGATGGTTCATGGGTGATGTGATGGTGGGAGATTAATGGGGACTACACCTGAGGGGAGAAATCAAATATGGTACAAAAATGAACAATGATGTAAAAAAAAAAAAAAACTATTTGAATTTGTAAATAAAAAGGCACCAAACTGTTAAAAAAAAAAAAACAAAAAAACATTTCCCATCTACATTCTTCCCCTCCCCTGGTGCTGACCATGTCGCCTTGAACAGGATTGTGTTCTTATAGGTGTCAGTGTCATTCGAGGATGTGACTGTGGCCTTCAGCAGGGAGGAGTGGCAGCAGCTGGACTCCACTCAGAGGTGCCTATACCGGGATGTGATGCTGGAGAACTACAGCCACCTGCTCTCAGTGGGTAAGCACGGCCACCCTGTGAATCTTTGAGGAGCTTATGGGTAAAATTGTGTTCCCAAAATAAAATATATTGAAATCAGTACCTCAGAAGGTGACCTTACTTGGGAAAAAAAGGGTCTTTACAGAAATAAGCTACAATGAGGCTACTAAGGTAGGTTCTAAAACAGGATGATTTGTGAACTTCTAAAGGAAATCTGGGCAAAGAGACACACACAGAGAGAAGACAATGCAAAGACACACAGGTAGGAATGACCGTGTGACTAGAGTGATGCATCTGTAAGCCAAGAAATACCTCAGGCTGTAGATCCCAGGGATGCAGCCTAGAACTGTTCTATCTCTAGTACCTTCAAAAAGATCCCTGCTGCCACCTTGCTTTCAAACTTTTGGGCACCAGAACTGTGAGACAATTCTGTTTTTGAGCCACCCAGTTTGTGGTACTTTCTTGTGGCAGGAACATAGATTGTTATAAAGGGAAGTGGGGTGCTGCTGTAACAGATACCCACAAAGCATGGAAAGGACTTTGGAATCATGGATGGAGGTTAGAAAGGTCTTGAGGTGTTTGATAGAGAAATCCTAGATTGCCACAAAGAGACCATTGGTAGAAATGAATGTTCAAGGTCCTTTCTGTGGAGTCTCAGGTGGAGGTGAGTGTTGAGTGAGTGGTGAGATCTTAGCTAGAAAGAACACCAACCAGTTGCTAAAGAGTTCAGATGTATGACTTGTGGATCCATCAATCATCTCAGTAGAGATACGGCAAGCTTGAGCTGGAGGAGACAGAGGTAGGGAGAAATGAAGGAAGGTTGTTGGATTTCTGGAATTCTATAGGTGGGAGATGAACTGGTAAAGCTACTTGTCTTCGAGCATGTTGTCCTTCAAGAAAAGGGGTGAATGACCGCAGGATGGCTCAGAGACCAGCAGGCTACTGGCACCACCATGGGCCCCTGGGGCACAACGGACCAGAAAGTAGGGGGGTGACAGGCCATCACCTCCTTGGTTCTAGAGGATGAGCCACATACTTGATTGCAGGACTGAGGAGGCAGGGCTCCTATCCAGGGTGTGGGGCTGCCATGGGTGATCTGAGATCACACGTCTTAATAGTTTTATATTCATTTGAACTTGTTCAAAATTCTTTTCAATTTGCCCTTCCATACCTGCTGTACTTGACTCTTTTCACCATGGATTTGGTATTTAACCTTAGATGGAGTGTACCACCACTCTGGGCTGCATTCTCAAACAACAGCACTCCGGGAAGACCCAGACTCAGTGCTACAGGGGCTGCTCCTGGCCTCACACCATCCACAGGCTGGGCCTCTGTCATAAGGACTCGGGCCTGTACAAGCGGCACCAGGGAAAGTATGCCACATATCTCATACCTCATCACTGGATTCAGCGCTGGACTCTTCTGAGTTCACTCACCATTACTTTGCAAATCCACGTTCAATTTCTTTTCCTCCACTGACATGCTTCAATTTAATGAGCAAGTCAGTTGAGGCCCACTAGCAAGCCAAAAACTATTTCTCAAAATTAGAGCCAGGCTTTGTGCCATGAACCTGAGCTCTGAGCTGATTCACATATAGGGAACAGCCAAGGGCCCCATCCCCATCTGCCATTGCATCTCCTGGCTCATCTGGCCCACATGGCAGAGCAGCTTGTGTGGCGGTCTGCACGTGTTGCACACCCTGCTGTTGTTCTGGGCATCACTCACAGCTTGGTCAATAGGCCAGAGTAGCACACCCAGATGAGGGCTGTGTTGCTTCTGAAGTCCAGAGAGGCCCAGTAGGTGTCCCTCTTTTTGCTTGTGGGAAGAGCCGATACAAAAACTCATTCTTCACCTTAAAAGGGATCACTCAACATGCCCCACACCACTGGACCCCAAGAAATTTCACTGAGGCGGAAGGTCCTACATTTTTGTCAGATTTCACCCCACCCTCTGATACACAAATGCCTTACCTGTAAGTCCAGAGCACTTCTTGTTTGTCTCGTTACAACGTGTGGTGGTGGGATGAAAAAGGATTACTCAAAGTCCATGTGCAGAACTGTGAGAAGCCTAAGGGACTGCACGATAAAGGTGCAGCCCGGCTCCAAGGGCAGTCTCCTTTTTATTTAGAATCAGACAGAAAATAAAAAAGATTAAAGAAGCAAGCAGGCAAACAGGGAATGCACGAGTATGTAGGGGATGTGTAACCAGCTGGGCCCAGCCAAGGCTGGGAAATCAGGGAGAGTCAAGGGAAGCCTCAGTGTTTTTGCTACTCTAACCACATCATCTATTGCTGTTTTCAGCATGTGTAGATCCTCATACCGGGACTTTTGCCCTGAGAGGTTCCTTATCTCAAACTTTCCCTATTCATACTCTGAGTGGTGCAGAATAGTCAAAGCAAAGAACAATCAAGGCAAAGACACAGAATAGTTGAGACACAAAATAACCCAACCCAAGCTCCCACGCTTGTTCACTAGGTCTAATCTGCAGCATCATCAATGTCATGGGTCAGTGTGACATCTGTGGAAGGCACAGTCAATCAAAGATCCCTATAGACTAAGTTGTGGCATAGGAAAGCAATTTGAGATACCACTAAGGTAGCACACGGAAGGTATATAGTTGGCCTTGCCAGCTGAAAGAACTTTCTAGTGGCCTTTACTAGGAGGTATTGCATTTAAATAAAAAGCACCTCCCAAGCCAAGATCAAGTATGAGGTGATAATTTAATCAAGAAATGAAACAACAGCTGGTACAGTAGCTGGTATTGGAGTTACCACCTGGTTAAGGTTAAATAATTGATTGTCATTCTCGAAGATTCATCTACTTTCACATGCCACATAGGCAAGCCAAATGGAATGTGATGGGAATCACCCGTTAACTCCTTGATGGTAGCACTCATTTCTGCCCTCCCTACAGAATGCAGTGCTGCTTTTGGTAACCGTTTTCTAATGCCTTCTAGTTGGCATTTCCCACCAAACAGCCTTTGTCCCACAGGTCAGGGAACCAATATGGGGATTCTGCCAGTTGCTGAGTATGTCTATTCTAGTCTGCTTGCCTGAACCAGGGTGATAACCACAGGATAGATTCAGGCCCGTTATGAGATGAACCTGAGCTAAAAAGCTATAGATCACTTCATTTGATTAGAATCACTTCACGTTCCTAAGTTCCTAGTCCTGGTTGGCCACGGTGACATGTTGGATCTTCAGAGCCAGTGTCCACGAATCTCTGAAAAGTTTGATTATTTCCTTTTCCCCAGTGTGTGGTCACCCTGAGAAAGTGCTGTAGATCCCTTTAGGGAAGGCTGGTAGAAAGAGTAATAGTATACATTTTCGGCAGTGTCACCCTTTGTAGGGCAAGTGAAAAAAATGGTTTCTTTTTTTTTTTTTAACTTGCTTAAAGAGGTAAAGTTTTATTTATTTATTTATTTTTTAAAGTTCCATTTTTTTAAATAATAAATTTTATTTTTATATTCCCCATACAATTGCAACCCCCCCATTCTGACCCCAATCCCTCCCCTCCCGCCCCCCACCCCCAAAAAAGTGCCTCTGGTTCATAGTTTTTTGTTGATTTGATTTTCACTTTCTTATAGTTATTCATTTTCCTGGTCCCTTATTTAAGTTTTCTAGATTCCTGCTATGAGTGAGACCATCCGGTATTTTTCTTTTTCTTTTTGGCTTATTCGCTGAGCATGATCCCTTCCAGCGCCATCCATGTTGCTGCAAATTGCATGTGTTTATCTTTTTTGAATGCTGAGTAATATTCCATGGTATATATGTACCACATCTTCTTGATCCAGTCATCTATTTTTGGGCATTTGGGTTGTTTCCAAAGCTTAGCTATTGTAAACAGTGCTGCTATAAACATAGGGGTGCAGGTGCTCTTTGGAATTGATGTTTCTGTGTCCTTTGGGTAAATACCTAGGAGTGGAATTGCTGGATCATATGGAAGCTCTATGTTTAGTAGGTCCAGAAATCTCCACACAGCTCTCCACAGTGGTTGGACCAGTCTGCACTCCCACCAACAGTTGCAGAAGAGTTCCTTTTTCTCCACACCCTCGCCAACATTTGTTGTTGCTAGTTTTTTTAATATGTGCCATTCTCACTGGTGTAAGATGGTATCTCATGGTAGTTTTGATTTGCATTTCCCTGATTGCAAGTGATGTTGAACATTTTTTCATATGCCTGTTGGCCATTTGCATTTCCTCTTCAGAGAAGTTTCTTTTTAGCTCTTCTGCCCATTTTGTGACTGGATTATTTTCTTTGTTGTTGTTGAGTCTCATCGGCTCTTTGCAGATTTTTGTGATCAGTCCTTTATCATTAGTGTTGTGTGTGAAAATGTTCTCCCAGTTGGTGGGGTTTCTCTTTGTTTTTGTTATTGTCTCTTTTGCTGTGTAGAAGCTCTTTAATTTGATGTAGTCCCAGCTGTTTATCTTTGCCTTCACTATCACTGCTTTGGGTGATGTGTCTGTAAAGATGTCTTTGATGTGCATATCAAGTAGTGTTTCGCTATATTTCCTTCTATGTATTTTATGGTTTCAGGTCTTATGTCTAGTTCTTTAATCCATTTTGAGTGATTTTTGTGTATGGTGTGAGGTAGTGGTCAAGCTTCATTCTTTTGCATGTAGCGACCCAGTTTTCCCAGCACCATTTATTGAACAAACTTTCTTTGCTCCAATGCATAGTCTTTGCTCCTTTGTCAAAGATTAGTTGACCATAAATCTGTGGGTTTATTTCTGGATTTTCTATTCGATTCCATTGGTCTGTGTGTCTGTTCTTGTTCCAATACCATGCAGTTTTGATGATTATGGCTTTGTAGTATAGTTTGAAATCTGGGAGTGTGATGCCTCCATTCCCTTCTTTTTTTTTTCAGGAGAGCTTTGGCTATTCAGGGTTTTTGGTGATTCCATATGAATTTCATCAATAATTGTTCTATTTCTTTGAAGAATAACATTGAAATTTTTATTGGAATAGCATTGAATCGGTATATTGCTTTTGATAGGATGGCCATTTTAATAATGTTTATTCT